ACGTTTCAATCAGAAGAGATGAGCCAGAGCAGAGAGGGTTGTCCCCCGCTCACATGATGACCAACAGGACACGCTGACCCCCACCCCCATCACTTACTCTACTAGAGACCAGAGGGAAGACTCTTGCTGAAACTTAACTCACAGAGGAGCTAGTCTCACATTCCACTATCTCGCCTCCCACAAAAACCCACAAAAACCATCAGTCACTCTCTCCGTCCACTGCATTCCCCACACATCCTTCACAACAGCCCTTCTCACGAAGGGCTTGCAGATTTGCGTGGTCTACTAAATCATGGACTTCTTTGATTTACCTCTGTATTGCTAATGATGAGTTCTGTGCTGGGCACACAGGGAGGCCTCAGAATGAATGGATATGGATGCGACAGACTCTCAAGTCCCCTATACATAAGTTATGACTATCCCACCCCAAACAGCATAGAGGGGCCGGGGGAGCAATGCCGAGGTACCCGTTGGACTTCAGAACTGGCAACAAAAAGGGGGAAAGAGGCCGGGCGCGGTGGCTCATGCCTGTAATCCCAGCACTTTGGGAGGCCGAGACGGGCGGATCACGAGGTCAGGAGATCAAGACCATCCTGGCTAACACGGTGAAACCCCGTCTCTACTAAAAAATACAAAAAACTAGCCGGGTGAGGTGGCGGGCGCCTGTAGTCCCAGCTACTCAGGAGTCTGAGGCAGGAGAATGGCGTGAACCCGGGAGGCGGAGCTTGCAGTGAGCTGAGATCCGGCCACTGCACTCCAGCCCGGGCGACAGAGCAAGACTCCGTCTCAAAAATAAATAAATAAATAAATAAAAAGGGGGGAAAGAGGTGCAGCGAGGGAGTTATGGAGGCGTTTCTTCCCCAGAGAAGGGCAGTCTTTGTGGCTACTCTACCCAGCCATCAATCTCTGTGCTAACTGCTGCTTTTTCTCAGGATGAAGGCTCTTTCTGAAGGAATGACCCTGCAACAGAACGAAGGGTACTTATTAAGGATTCAGATATCTAGCCCCTCCCCGCACATACTAGATTGGAATCTCTGGGCTGGGGCCCCATAGTCTCGGAAAAATGACTTTCCTTTGGTCTATGCGGAAACCAAGAAGGAGCCTTCCAGGAAGGGTGGGGAGGAGGAGAGTGCCTGGAAGGGGTACCCCTGTCATTCCTTCAGAATCACTGGCTTTCTCCTATCAGGCCCTGAAATCAAGGGCAAAAGTGTAAGACTCTGGTAGACTGTGCTAGGATTTGCTCCAACCCTCTTGGCTATGGGATCAGAAGGGAGGGTAACTGGCAAGGTTGTGGCTGGCCTGGAAGAGGCTTGGATACTTTGTGTGCCACAGCCAAGCCCTACAGAAGTAGCTCTGCACTGCAGGATCCATGTCCTGTGCAGGACTGGGTATCAGAAAACCTCACCCTTGTTACAGCTGAGTAGATGGTAGGCATGCTCTTGCCTTCTGTGGCAGAGAAGGAACAGTGGTGTGGGGGAAAGCACCTTTCACCAGAACCAGGCAAGCCCTGGAGCAAATGCTGGCAACATCAGTGACAAGCTGTGGGCATTTAGAGAATTTACCAGGTCTCTGTCTCGGTCTCCTCATCTACCTAATGGAAGTAAGCATACTTGTTTCAATATTTGTTAGGGTTTAGAAAGATGTTAAAGAGCCTAGCACAGAGCTATACACTTAGTGAGTGGCTAATAAAGCTTAAGTGAATTTCAGTTCCTTAAATGCTCATAAATGTACCCAAAGCCTTCACTATCTCCTCTTAGTTAAACCTTACAACCCTGTAAGGACATATCATCACTTCCATTATACAGATGAGAAAACAGACTTAGGGGAAATTACTTGCCCAAGATCACACAGCTAGCAAAGGCTGAGCTGAGACTTGAACCCAGGTCTAGGTTCTCTCCTTCCCCTCATCCCCAAACCTACTCCCTGAAATGTGCACTCTTCCTCCCTTCTCATAGGGAAATGGAATTATAAACGATCCAGTGTTTGAGCAGGTTGGGAAGGCATCTGGATTCTCATCCCACTTAAAGACTGGTGTAATACAGTCCCCATAAAGCCGGGGCTCTCCTTGGGCAGACAGGAGACCTTCTCTTTAGGGCCCAGGCAACCCAGCACCTTGAGACAACCCTTACTCTGAGAGAAGAATCTGAAGGTCAATTTCTAGATGTGGATGGGGAGGGACAGGATAGAGGGAAACCAAAATTCTTCATTTCATCCCAAGACTGTCTTACACTGACAGAGAAAGGGGTTCTGACCCAGCTGAGGGAAAACAGAACAGAACTCACATTGGTGTCTTCATCCATAAGCCAGTGGCATACATAAAGGAGGAGCACCAGAAGTATTCCCATTGTGGTGACTCTCCCTGAATTCGTTTATCAATTTAATGATTCCAATAAAAGATACTGACAATTTATTTTCTGTTGTTGTTGGGAGGTAGTGGAATTAGCTAAATGGAAAATTCCAGGGGGTGGAGGGGAGGCCTAATGAACAAGAGTGGGAGTACAGGGGGGTTGCTACTATAAAAACCAATAGGTATGAAGACTTTGGAAACAGATGTCCACCCTAAGGGGCTATTTTAAGTAAATTATGGTTTACCCACACAACAGAAATCTATGCAACTGTTTAAAACAATGTTAGGAAACTCATATATATAGGATGAAGTCCAAGATACAGTAAGAAAGAACAAGGTGAAAAAGTGGGTATATGGTATGTTAGCCTTCATATAAAAATGGAGGTTTTTTTGATGTAGTGATTATCTATTGCTGTGGAACAAATGGTCCCCAAACTTAGTGATTTAAAACATTTATTATCCCAGTTTACATGGATCAGGAATCCGGGCACCGCTTAGCAGGCTGCCTTTGGCTCGGGTCTTCAAGAGGCTGTAGTCAAGCTGTCAGCAGGGGCTGTGGACCCATTAGAAGGTTCAACTGTGGGAGGGAGGATCTGTTTCCAAGTTCAGTCACATGGTTGTTGGCAGGCACTGGTCTCTCACATGAGCCTCTCCACAGGGCTGCCTCAGCATCGCAGCTGCCTTTCCCCAGGGTGGGTGATCCCAGAGACAGAGAGCACCCAAGATGGAAGCTGAAGTCTTTTTTACCTATTTCAGAAGTAACATCCTACCACTTTTGTAGTATTTTATTCATCAGATGTATATCTGTGGCCAGGTGTGGTGGCTCATGCCTGTAATCCCAGCACTTTGGGAGGCAGAGGCAGGCAGATCATGAGATCAAGAGATCGAGACCATCTTGGCCAACATGGTGAAACCCTGTCTCTACTAAAAATGCAAAAATTAGCTGGGCATGGCGGCACACATCTGTAGTCCCAGCTACTCGGGAGGCTGAGTCAGGAGAATCACTTGAACCCGGGAGGTGGAGGTTGCAGTGAGCCAAGATCACGCCACTGCACTCCAGCCTGGTAACAGAGCGAGACTGTCTCAAAAAAAAAAAGTCCATCTGGAAGGGGAGGGGAGTACACAAGGGCATGAATACCAGAGGTGGGAGCACTGGGGGCTGTCTTTGAGGATACCTACCCACCACACTCACACAGGCATAGTATTTCTGGAAAGATACACTAGAAACATTCAATATTGGTTGCCTTCAGGGAAGGAAATTGGGAAACTCCCACCTCAGCCTCCCAAATAGCTAGGACTACAGGCACACATCCCCACACCTGGCTCGTATTGTTTTGTAGAGACAGGGTTGCCCAACTAGTCTAAACACCATCCTCCCACCTTGGCCTCCCAAAGTGCTAGTATAGGCAAGAGCCATTGTGCCCAGCCTAATAGGTATGCTCTTGCATACCTATTTTACAATATTGATGTATCACTTAAAAAATAAACCAGGCTGGGTGTGGTGGCTCACGCCTATAATCCCAGCACTTTGGGAGGCTGAGACAGGCAGATCACTTGAGGTCAGGAGTTCGACACCAGCTTGGCCAACATGGTGAGACCTCGTCTCTATTAAAAATACAAAAATTAGCCAGGCATGGTGGTAAGCACCTGTAATCTCAGCTACTCAGGAGGCTGAGGCAGGAGAACCACTTGAACCCAGGAGGCAGAGGTTGCAGTGAGCTGAGATTATGCCTCTGCACTCCAGCCTGGGTGAGAGTGAGACTCTGTTTCAAAAATATAAAATTTATTTTAAATTTAAAAAGAACAATGAAAAATATGGCATTTTAACAGACAAAATACTAACAGGGAACAAAATAAAAACAGTAACAATTATACTTCAATACTATATAGTTATTACTAGCACCATAAACATGCTTGTTTCTACTTAGCCATTACTTGCTTCCATGAGGGAGGTTTAAAAACCTCTTTATTACACATGCATACACATAAGCAAGCAACTCCCATTTGTAGAGCAAAATACAAACACTTGAGCTGGGATTCACAATCCTCTTCACAGTTTGGTTCCAGTCCACCCTTACTGACCCATTTCCTGCCATCCTTCCATCCATCTGTGAACTCGTTATTTGCGATACTGAACTATTATTTGCCAGTTCTGGAGGGTAAAGGCAACAAGCACAATGCCTGGCACACAGCAAACTTTCATCAAGTGCTGGCTTCCATTCTGCCTCAAACACGGCCTTTGTTTAGACTGTCTCCTGTGCATGGAATGCCCCGCACCCCTCTCCTAGCCCCAAGTAAAATTCCCTCCAAGGCATACGGCAAATGTCACTGTCATCAAGGAGTCCCACAGGCAATTAGTTATCATCTCTATTCTCCCATAGCACCTGTTTTTACCTTAACTCTGACACTTTTATTATTGTATTACAACTTAAATCTCTGCCATCCAAAGTCTGGTCCTTGGACCGTTAGCTGGGACCTCGTTTGAAATGCAGAATCTGGGCCCCATCCCAGACCTACAGAATCAAAACCAAAATTTCCACAAGATATCAGTGATTTATTTGCACATTCATCTTTCCCTGGTGGAATTGTGAGCCTTTCTAGGGCTCTCTTTTATTTCTGTCCCCAGAGCCCCACATAAGACTTGACGCTCAAACGCTTTTTAAGTTTTATTTGCAATACTTATATGATAGATTTTAATTCCTAGAAAAATAAATACATATTATTAATAATAATTATCTGGCAGATAGATAATAGTACATTTCTATGTAGCGTTTTAAATTTTCATAATCAGAATGTATTACTTTTACAGATAGGAAAACAAAAAGATTTGGGAAAATGCATGTAAAATGTAAGAAAAAAGGTAAATTGTAGATATAATACATTCACAAAAGGAATATAACTGTGTTGAGCTATATTTATAAAAAGATGAACAAATTATATTAGGTTTTTAAAAAAGACAACCTAACAGTATGTATTGATGATACCATGTTTGTCCTTTAAAAAAATTTGTGAATTAGCCGGGAGCAGTGGCTCACGCCTGTGTTTCCAACATTTTGGGAGGCTCAGGTGGGAAGATCCCTTGAGCTCAGGAGTTTGACCTGGGCAATATAGTGAGACCCTATCTATGTTAAAAGAAAAAATTTGTAAATAAACACTGAAAAGATACATATCAAAATATCTCTAATGAAGTTTGTTTTACAATTTTCTACATTTTACATTTTTTTCTAGTTTTCCTATGATCTTTATAAAAGCTTATCACTTACAAGAAAAAAAGTTATTTTCGTTTTTTAAAAACATCTATACCCTTTACTAAGTCCCTTTACATTCAATGACCAAGATTTCTACAACACCCTGGGAAGTTGAAAGGTCTGAAAGTAACACGGCCATTACATAGATGAAGGCAGCGGGCCTTGGAAATGTAACCCTGATGGACTGACTCTGGGCTGGCGTTCTCCCACCCCTGCAGGTACTACAGACTCAGAGGAATGTGGCAAGTCAGATGCCAGCTTTGGCCAAAAAACCTCCTGTCATGTCAGGAGTCTCACCATGCCCAGTTACTTCCTCTGAGACAGTAACAGCAATAGGGGAACACTTCAAAGACAAAGCATTCAGAATGATTCATGCTGCACCACCTCCCCCTGGTGGCAGGCTCTGGAAATTGGCTTGAGGATAACTATTGCAATTGGTCACTATTTTTAAAATATATTTTCTGTCAAAATCACCCTTATTTCTTTAAATCATCAAAATCACTTTTTCTTTTGTCAAGGATTCAGATATTGACAAAAGACACAAAACCAGGACCTGGTGTCAACCAGACAATGCTCTGGATGATGCCAAAGGCAGTGTGGCTCTTTGCCTCCTGTCCTTGCTTCCCCACCTCTTCAAGTCTACAGTGGAGGCAAGGCACTATGTTCTTCAGCACCGTCTTTCCTGCTGTGTCTCTATCTCCATCCACTTCCCTGAGCCTCAGAAAAGGGCAAGGTGTGGCTCACATACTCTCAGCCATGGCCTGGCATGCTGCAGCTCCAACATCAGACATCTAGGCACTAATCCTCCCCAAGACCCAGTCCTCAGGTTCAAGGCACTGATATTTCAAATATGTGAGACTGAAATACTGACGTTTCTTTAAAAACATCAGGGTTTAGAATGTCAGTCTTCCACTGTGGTGCCCATGGTCTCCAGATACGCACAGCTTCCTTACTGTTCCAGGAAGAAGGAAACACTCAATAGGATATCTGAAATAGGAAGAAAGAAAAAATGGCATCATCACCTCTCCCGAGAACATAAAACACAGAGGCACAGCAAGGGTACCTTCCTAAAGCTTCCAAAGAGGTAAGCCACAGGGAGAGAAAGGAGGAGAGGAGACACGAAGGAAGAACACAAACCAGTACCTTGTACAAGATCTTGGTGTTCGTCTTTTGAAATTCGGTCCCAGGCCTTGGGCAAAGCTTGGATGTTTGCCAAGTCTCCCCACCGGATAGAGGAAAGAAGATACTTTCTATTCAGGTACCTTTCTGGAAGTTAAGGACTGCTCAAAAGAAAATGAAATATGCTGAAGTTAAAAAAACACCCTGGTGAGAACCAGAGGGAGCTATAAAAATGAAAGTGCAGATATCCTTACATTTTACCAGGTGGGCCTGATTCACCTATGCTACAAATATTTCCTGAGCAACTGTTTACTAACATGGCTTTGTGCTACAGGGAAAGAGAAATGAAACCATCTCTGAAATCTGGGATCTCAGCATGGTGAGGACAAAACCAGATCCTGAAAAGAAAGAACAAAAGTGACATGAGAGGTAAAGCTAGTGGAGGTTCAGAGGATAAATACACCCAATTCAGAGGAAGCAGGGACACCCCAGCTGGTAGGAAACACAAATGAAGGCACAGACGCATAGAATGAATCCAGGGAAAGCAAATCTTCCAGTCTGCTCAGCATGGACACCACATGGAAAGCAGTCAGAAAGGCTGAAAGGTGGGCTAAGCCAGAACAGAAAGAACACTGAGTACCAAGGCAGGGCTCTGAACTTTATCCCATTAGCAACAGGAGCTATTCCTATACTGTACAGTACAATTCTGATCCTAAGGAGCAGGATCAGAGCCAGACTTCCTGAAGAAATAGAGGTCATTAATTGGAGTCAGCTTAGAGGAAAAGAAACTAGACAGAGAAACCCGTCAAGAGGCTACATGCAATTAAGAATCCAAGTGAGAGGTAAGAAGCCATGTAAGCAGCAGAGGGGACAGAGAAGGAAAATCAAAGAAGCACCAGGGAAACAGAGGGAAAGGACTTGACGAGTGACTGTGTAAACACTCTAGCACATAGCAAGTGCTTAGTAATGTCAGCCGCAGTTCTTGCTCCTTCTGCCCATGTTCCTGTTGCTGTTACTACTGCTGCTACTAACACATTTAAAAGGGAAAATAAGCTGGGCGCAGTGGCTCATGCCTGTAATCCCAGCACTTCGGGAGGCCAAGCTGATAGGACCACCTGAGATCAGGAGTTTGAGACCAGCCTGGCCAACATGGTGAAACCCTATCTCTACTAAAACTACAAAAATTAGCCGGGTGTGGTGGCAGGTGCCTGTAATCTCAGCTACTTGGGAGGCTGAGGCAGGAGAATTGCTTGAACCCGGGAGGTGGAGGTTGCAGTGAGCCAAGATCATGCCACTGCACTCCAGCCTGGGCAACAAGAGCAAAACTCTGTCTCAAAAAATAAATAAATAAAAGAGAAAATAGGGTGGATTCTACAACTCAAGGAAAAGGGGGCTGAATTTGACGGCTAGATTGAGGAGTTCAATTTTAAACTTGAGTTTGCAGTTCCAAGAACAATCCAGTTGGAGGCATCTGCAGGAAACCAAAAGTCAAGACTGGAGACAAGAAAAATTCACATGAAGGCAGAAACCTAAGCCAAAGGCTAAAATCAGGTATCAGACAAGAATTGAGAGACCAGGCATGGTGGCTCACACCTGTACTCTTAGCACTTTGGGAAGCCAAGGTAGTAGGATCATTGAGGCCAGGAGTTCAAGACCAGCCTGGTCAACACAGCAAGACCCCATCTCCTAGGCAAAAAAAAATTTTTTGAGAGAAAAATGTTAGAGCTTCAACTAACTGGTCTTTCTGCTTTTACCCTTGCCCCTACTACCCCAAATCTTACCCTAGAACGAAGCCAGAATGATACTGTTAAAAAACATAGGTCTTATCCTGTTACTCCTTAATCAAAAGTTTCTAAGAGCTTTTTCTGTCACTCAAATGCTTTTTCTTTTGGTGGGGGTGGGGGCGGTTTGAGACAGGGTCTTGCTCTGTCACCTAGGCTGGTGATAACACTCAGGCTGGCGATCATGGCTCTCTGCAGCCTTGACCTTCCAGGATCAAGCAACCCTCCCAACTCAGCCTCCTGAGTAGCTGGGACTAAGCTGCACACCATCATGCCTGGCCCAAAATTATTATTATTATTATTATTATTTTTTGGAGACAGAGTTTCACTTTATCACCCAGGCTGGAGTGTAGTGGCACAATCTCAGCTCACTGCGGCCTCAACCTCCCCCAGTTCAAGCAATCCTCCAGCCTTACCCTCCCGAGTAGCTGGGACTACAGACTACAGGCACATACCACCACGCGTGGCTAATTTTTGTATTTTTTGTAGAGATGGGGTTTCACCACGTTGCCCAGGCTGGTCTCAAACTCCTGGGCTCAAGCAATCCTCCCACCTCAGCCTCCCAAAGTGCAAGGATTACAGGCATGAGCCACCACGCCCGGACCCCAAATTCTTTCAAAGACCTTCAAGGCCCTAGAAAGTCGAGCCCCTCCGTCTTTCTACCCTCACCTGCTATTAGGCTCCTCCTCATACTCTAGTCTAGCCTCCTCACTATTTCCTGAACAGACCAGGAATGTTCTTACCTCAAGGCCTTTGCATTTGATGTTTCCTCTGCCTAGTAGCTTTCTCTCCCCAAATAGCTCTTTCCCTTACCCTCTTCAGATCTTTGCTCGAATATCACTTTCTCATCAGGCCTGCTCTGACCACCCTATTTTAAATCACAACCCCACCCTCACTCCTCACTTTCCCAGGTTTATTTTTCTCCATAGCACTTATCGCCATCTGGCACTCTACTTTCCTTTTTTTTTTTTTTTTTTTTTTTTGAGACGGAGTCTCGCTCTGTCGCCCAGGCTGGAGTGCAGTGGCCAGATCTCAGCTCACTGCAAGCTCCGCCTCCCGGGTTCCCACCATTCTCCTGCCTCAGCCTCCCGAGGAGCTGGGACTACAGGCGCCCACAACCGCGCCCGGCTAATTTTTTGTATTTTTAGTAGAGACGGGGTTTCACCGTGGTCTCGATCTCCTGACCTTGTGATCCGCCCGCCTCGGCCTCCCAAAGCGCTGGGATTACAGGCGTGAGCCACCGCGCCCGGCTACTTTCCTTTTTTAATGCCTGTCTCTCTGCACCAAGAACAGTGCCTGACAGGTAGCAGGGACTCAGTAAATTATTAGAGGAAGGATTATACAAAGGAATGCAGGAAGAATCCAGGTTCAGGAACCAAAGAGAACTGACTCAAACTATACAGTTTTCCAATCTTGTGAAAACTGAAATTTGAAAGACTTAGAACAGCTCTGGCCGTGACCTGAAATGTGTGCAAAGGATACGACTTTCGATAATGTCTCTCAATATCCTGCAACCATTCCAACATGTCAGCCACAGAGGGGCTCACTGCTGAAGGCTGCAGGACAGCATCAATGCCAACTGTGTCTGCATGCTGCTCATAGATCTGAAACACTCGCTCCACATGGCTGCTGACCACGTCTCGCACCTTGAGGAGGATGGCTCTGCAAGAAACAGTCTGACGTTAGGCAATATCATGAGACAGGTATAAAGGAAGGTTTCTCAATTTTGGCACTACTGATATTTTGGACATGATTCTCTGTTGTGAAGGGCTGCCCTGTACATTGTAGGACGTTTAGGAGCATGCCTGGCCTCTACCCACTAAACGACAGGAGTAAACCACACCTATACCCTTCATAAGCCATAATAACCAATAATGCCTCTAGATGATGCCAAATGTCCCCTCATAGAAAAACCATCTCCAGTCGAGACCACTGGTCTAAGGAGATTAGTGACGGTGCCTTGGATGTAGGGGTGGCTCAAGACTCAAGAAAGGGGCTGGGTGCAGCGGCTTGTTGCCTGTAATCCCAGCACTCTGGGAGGCTGAGGCAGGTGGATCACCTGAGGTCAGGAGTTTGAGACCAGCCAATGTCCCAAAACCCTGCCTCTACTAAAAATACAAAAATTAGCCAGGTGTGGTGGTACATACCTGCAGACCCAGCTACTTGGGAGGCACGAGAATCATTTGAACCCAGAGGCAGAGGTTGCAGTGAGCCAAGATTGCATCACTGCACTCCAGCCTGGGTGACAGAGCGAGACTCCATCTCAAAAGTAAATATAATTTTTTTAAAATTAAAACTTAAAAAAAAAAAAAAGCCAGGTACAATGGCATGCCTGTAATCCCAGCACTTTGGGAGGCCAAGGCCAGAGGACAGCTTGAAGCCAGGAATTTGAGACCAGCCTGGGCAATATGGCAAGACGGTCTCTACAAAAATTTTTAAAAATTAACCAGGTATGGTGGCATGCTCCTGGAATCCCAGTTACTCAGGACACTGGCAGGAGGAGTTAGAGGCTACAGTAAGCTATGATCATACCACCGCACTTCAGCCTGGGCAACAGAGTGAAATTATCTCTAAAAATAAAATAAAAATAAATAAAAGACAAAATATTAAGTAAAGCACTCATATTGTTTCGTGAAACAGTCCAGTGATATATGCATGTATGTGTGTCTATGAATGATATAAAATATTTCTTCCTCTAAGTCAAGGTCCAAAGTCTGAAAGCCACTGAACTAGAAAAAACCAAGTGCCTCTTGGGTGGTAGGCTTTGACAGGCAGTGTTCTATTTTTCAAATTGAGATATAATTCACATACCATAAAATTCACCCTTTAAAAGTATACAACTTACAGGCTGGACGCGGTGGCTCACGCCTGTAATCCCAGCACTTTGGGAGGCTGAGGTGGGCGGATCACAAGGTCAGGAGATCGAGACCATCCTGGCTAACACGGTGAAACCCTGTCTCTACTAAAAATACAAAAAATTAGCCGGGCGTGGTGGCGGGTGCCTGTAGTCCCAGCTACTCGGGAGGCTGAGGCAGGATAATGGTGTGAGCCCAGGAGGCGGAGTTCGCAGTGAGCCGAGATCGCACCACTGCATTCCAGCCAGGGTGATGGAGCAAGACTCCATCTCAAAAAAAAAAGTATACAACTTACAGTAAACCTGTTCTGTTAATACAATGGTATATAAATGTCATTATAGGCCAGGTGTGGTGGCTCACACCTGTAATCCCAGCACTTTGAGAGGCTGAGGAGGGTGGATTACTTGAGGTCAGGAGTTTGACACCAGCCTGGCCAACATGGTGAAACCCTGTCTCTACTAAAAACACAAAAATTAGCCAGGTGTGGTGGCAGGCACCTGTAATCCCAGCTACTTGAGAGGCTGAGGCAGGAGAATCACTTGAACCCAGCAGGTGGAGGTTGCAGTGATCTTGCAGAGGTTGCTGTGAGCCAAGATTGTGCCACTACACTCCAGTCTGGGTGACAGAGTGAGACTCTGTCGGAGGTGACAGATAGATCTGGGAACCATATGATCCTCTACATAACTTACCCATCATTTCCTGAGCTACTTTACCTCTCTGATCTTATCTTTTTTCTTTTTTTTTTAGAGACAGAGTCTCACTCTGTTACCCAGTCTGGAGTGCAGTGACACAAACATGGCTCACCGTAGCCTCGACCTCCTGGGTTCAAGTGATCCTCCTGCCTCAGCCCCCTGTGTAGGCCCTGTGCGACCACAGGTGCACATCACCACACCCAGATAATTTTTTTATTTCTTATAGAGTCAGGGTCTCACTTTGTTGCCTAGGCTTTGAGACCAGGCTGGTCTCAAACTCCTGGGTTCAAATGATCCTCCTGCCTTTAGCTTCTCAAAGTGCTGGGATTACAGGTGTGAGGCACCATACTCGGTCTCATCTTTTTTTCGTTTTGCTTTCCTTTTTGTGGAGAATGGGATCTCACTATGTTGCCCAGGCTGGTCTCAAACTTCCGGGCTCAAGTGATCCTCCTGCCTCTGCCTCCCTAAGTGCTGGGATTACAGGCTGAGCTGCCATACTCAGCTGATCTCATCTCTTATCAGGCCTCTGCTCCTGTCATACTTTTCTCTTTTTTTGACACAGAGTCTTGCTCTGTCACCCAGGCTGGAGTGCAGTGGGACAGTCTTGGCTCACTGTAACCTCTGCCTCCCGGGTCCAAGAGATTCTCCTGCCTCAGCCTCCCCAGTAGCTGGGACTACAGGAGTGCACCACGACACTCAGTTAACTTTTTTATTTTTAGTAGAGACGGGGTTTCACCATGTTGGCCAGGCTGGTCTCAAACTCCTGACCTCAAGTGATCTGCTTCCCAAAGTGCTGGGATTACAGCCATGAGCCACCGTGCCGGGCCAGTCATACTATTCTCTATGCACACTACTCACACCCACGTCTTGACTCTGTTTACACCTTTTCAACCATTAGGTTTTTAATATCACTTCCTCCCCAGAAGCTTCCCCCCTCCACACAAGCCATACTTATCAATATCTTAGGACATCCCACAATTTAATTCACTGATTGTTTATTTCTTCTATTCAACTAAGAACAGGAACTAAGTCTGGTTCATTGTTGTATTCCTGGCACCTTGTGCTTGGCATCCCACAAGGTGCCTAATGAATGTATTTTGTACAAATAAATAAAAGGAAAGTCCTCATCTGTGACAGTTTCCTATTAGTCTATGGCACAGACTCTATATACTGGACCTTTCTTTTGTTCTGGTTCAAGGAAAGGCCACACATGCCCTGTCTCTCCTCTGTCCTCAATAACCTATAACTCTCAGCCTGGGCAACATAGTGAGACCCTATCTCTACAAAAAAATTTAAAATTAGCTGGGCATGGAAGTGCACGCTTGTTGTCCCAGGTACTTGGGGGGTTGAGATGGGAGGATCACTTGAACCAGGGAAGTCAAGGTTGCAATGAGCTGTGATTGTGCCACTGCACTGCAGCCCGGGTGACAGAGCAAGACCCTGTCTCAAAAAAAAAAAAAAAATCTGTAACACAGATACTGGGTCTGACAACAAGCATATCAGAACTTGGAGACGTGCTACTACTGGGCACAAAGACACCAACCTACAGCAGAACAAAGTGGTGATTAAGAGCTCTAGCTTTTGGGTCAGGCACACTTGAGTTAGAATCCCAGCTCTACCCTTTTCTGGCTGTGTCACCAGGGGCAATCTGCTTGAGCCTCAGTTTCCTACCTGCATGGAATTAAGTGCAGTAAAGTCACAGATATGTTGAAGAGCCTTTATAATGTAATATATATAAAGCCCTTAGCTCTAGCACCTACTAAGTTTACACAGCTCCTCATTGCCTTTTACCAAAGAAAACTATAGGGCAGAGCTAATAGGCTTTCTCTGCTCCTTTTCTGTTCTTCTTTTGTGACTTCCACTAAGCCCACCACTGCCATGCCTAGTCTCTGACAAGGAAAATGCCAGAAAATGGCTTTCTGACAGAGGTCTCACTGCCCCAGATGGTAAGTGAGGAAGGTTGAGATACCTCCAAATGCCACGCTTTCAAGGAGAAAAACACCTTCTGGACTGATACTAGCTACATATAAAACACCTCGTTTTAAAATCCTTCCACCAGGAAAGAGCACTATGGAGCTGCTTACAGCCTTTCCCCTAGCTTGTCCAGGACGATGTCACCAGCAGCCAGCTGCTTGCGCCTCAGCCGCTCTTTTAAGTCTGGGAAGGCCCGAAGCGCCGGCACATCCTCGAACCGCAGGTTCTGTGCGGCCTGCAGCTGCTCCGCCAGGTTGCTGAGGGAAGACAGGAGGGGCTGGCAGTCCTGCAGGGCACTCTGCCACAGGCCCTGCTGCTCCTCCACCACCAGGAAGCACTTCTTCAGGGCCTCCTGCACGGCAAGCAGAGGCCGGTCTTGAGTCATCTTCTGCTGAAAAAGATAAAAATAGAAAATAACCACGTTGGGGTGGCAAGTCAGTCCGGGAGGCACTGGGTCGAGGGTGGGCGTCATTTCCGTCCTCGTGTTCACACAGGAGTTGTCTCACCTCCAGAAGTGGTTTTTTTTGTTTTTGTTTTTTTCGACACGGAATTTCACTCTGTCGCCCAGGCTGGAGTGCAGTAGCGCTATCTCGGCTCACTCCAACCTCTGCATCCCGGGTTCAAGCAATTCTCCTGTCTCAGCCTCCCGAGTAGCTGGGAATACAGGTGCCCGCCACCACGCCCGGCTAATTTTTGTATTTTTAGTAGAGACAGGGTTTCGCCATGTTGGCCAGGCTGGTCTTGAACTCCTGACCTCAGGTTTTCCGCCCGTCTCGGTATCCCAAAGTGCTGGGATTACAGGCGTGAGCCACCAGCCCCGGCCCTGCCTCAGCTTTCTGAAGGAGATCCTGGCTTCCCCTTGGGAAGGGTAACCTGGATAGGGCAGTCTCCTGCTTCAGAGGATTCCCGGCGGCCAATCGCCGTCTCTTCTCTGACCTACAGTCCTGTCTCCCCTGCCCGAGGCTGCCGGTCGCGTTCCTGAAACCAGCGGAAAAACTTAAAAGTCAAGACACCCAAAGCGTGAGCACCACGCGCCCATAGTCTCTCTGCGCATGCTCACAGGCGACCGCCCCCAAAGCTCCTCCGCAGGCCTGCAAGGCTATTGAGTCGCGAAAATATATCATAGTACCGAAATTACTTCTGGGTACTGTAGTCCAACATGTGGATTGGCCACTCGGCTTGAAGCTTCCTTGGGACTGGATGTTGGGACCGTCCAAACACGGCGATTTCTCATTTGTCAGCCTGCGGCAGTTTAAATTGGGTGGCAGTGGTGGCATGTCCTCTTAACTGTGGAGTCTTTTCCTCTCAGCTTGCGCCTTCGGCTGTGCCTTAATGACACTTTTGACATTGTGTATCACAACCAACTGGCAAAAACTAGTGAATCACGGGCTCCTGACGTGGCAGCTCTGGCTGAGATGCAGGTGGACATCCTAGGTGCCCAGGGAGGTCGGGCACATTGGGGAGTCGGGTGAAGGAAACCCTGAAACCGAGAGGCTGGAAGCCCAATTTGCCCATCATAAAAACACCTGCTGCGGGAAAGCCTACATGAGGTACGGGTTGTCGTCCCCTCTCATCTTGGCCATCTAACTGATGGAGATCCTTAGGCACCCAGCAGACTCGGGTGTCACCCCCACCACCCACTGCCCAGGGCTGACCTTGGGCGGAAGAGCGACATTCAAATATTTTTTGTATATGGAGCAACAAACCAGGGTGGAAGAGAGAGAGAAAGGACTTTCTAGGAAGGGCCAGGCTTGCCAGGGTTTCTATGCTTGGACTGCTCTGTCCCCAAGCTCGCTGGTGCCCATCAGGAGCCTGCTTGGCACCTTTGCTTATTTCTTTGATTGTTCCTGAACTCAGAGGGGGAGAGGCAAGATTATCACTCCCATAGCCTATAACATGCACGCTTAAACACAAACAACCCCTCTGACATGGCTTCATTCCGCATCCACAGGTGAAAAGCACCAAATCCAAACAATCAGGCCACAAACCTGTCAAGAGCTCGCCGGTCTGGCCGTCCAGTCGTCGCCCGCCTTGAGACTCAGCCTGAGCTACAGCTTCGAAACTAGCCTCTAGCCTTGCTGGGTCTCAGCACAACCCTTGAGCAATCCAACCCTGTGGCTGTGGGCAGATGCAAAGATGCACAGTTAGCACTTCCGACAGGACTGCGGCTCAGCGGGGTTCGAGGTCTACACGCCCATTCCCAGGCCCACGGCCAGAACACCCAGAGCTGCCTCCTGCCCTGGGCTCCCTGGAGTGTGGTGGCCGCGGCTCACGCTGCAGTCACCGCGTGGGCAGCTGCCAAGCGCCACTACTCGCACCTGAAGTCGCGGCCCCGCGCTGCACACCCAGTCGAGGCGCCAAGACGCGAACTGGACGGGAGTGGCCGGCCCGCGGGCGAGCGAGGAACAAGAGGGTTCTCCCCACTCGCTGCCCAAACTGGCCACGGGCTGGCGCGCCCACCCCAAAGCCTGCACCCCGGCCCCGCTCCCCTGTCATTCCGCCTCGACCCCTTCCAAACCCTGTCGGGGCTGCTCTGTCTCCGCCGACCCTCCACTTGCCCCAAGTTCGGCCTGGGGAGCTTGGGGCCCTGAGGAGCGCCGACGTAGGCAGCCAACCAGTCAATCAGTCAGAGTGTCACGGCGGCCCCTCGGCTACTCAGTGGCAGCCAGGCCTGGAAGAAGCAGCCGCCGGCCCCGGAGCAGAATCCTACAGCCGACCTGACCTAGTCCGCTCCTAGCCCTCCAGAGATTGGGGTAATGAGGACCCGCCGCAAGGCCTGCCGGGAGTCGCAGTTTGTATAGTTTGCAGCCGGCCAGGGCGGAGCCGGGTGGGTTGGTGGGGAGGGCGGGGAAACAAGCCTGGACCACAACTCCCAGGAGCACCCGCGACGGCGGCGCCCGCGCTGACGCACTCCGGCTATAGGGAGCGCATTGGGCGGGAGACCCCGGGCAGGTAGGAACTTGCTTGTGATTGGATACTGTGGGACGGCGGTTTCTCATTCGTCAGCCTGTGGCTGTGGAGTTTGAATTAGGTGGCGGTTGACGGTAGAGCCGCTCTCTCTCACTGGCATAGCGAGGTTTTACTCAGTCCTTGTCGCGAGACCGGAGGTACGTGCCTGGCGACTTATTCGGGTGGTCCCCATCCGCCCTCCTGGTCCCTACCTGGTTCCTTGCCTCCCTGCCCCATCTCCGCCGCTCCCCGCAGCCTCCGCCGAGCGCCATGGCTCCTAGGAAGGGCAGTAGTCGGGTGGCCAAGATCAACTCCTTACGGAGGCGGAAGCTCGCCTCCTTTCTGAAAGACTTCGACCGTGAAGGTAAAGGGGCCAGGCCGTCGCGGCCTCCTGGGGCGGTCGCGGGATGCTGGCGGGTGGGGACACGAGCTGCACACATTCACCCGCCCCGTGACCCGTGTCCTGTCGGCTCTGCCCTCCCGCAGTGGAAATACGAATCAAGCAAATTGAGTCAGACAGGCAGAACCTCCTCAAGGAGGTGGATAACCTCTACAACATCGAGATCCTGCGGCTCCCCAAGGCGCTGCGCCAGATGAACTGGCTTGACTACTTCGGTAAGAGCTGGAGAGCTTCCCTGGGCGGAGGCCGGGAGCCCCGTGGGGTTAGGTAACACCCTTCAGAAAGGACTCGCTCAGATGTCACCTTTTAATGAAATCTGACATGACCACTTATGGAAAATTGCAGACCCTTTCACTCTCTGTCTCACTTCCGTAAGTCATGTGTCTCCATCCTTTTCTCTAAAGGCCTAGGTAGCAAATATTTTAGGCTACTTGAGCCGGTGGGAGGGGTCTCTGTCGGACAACTTAGCTCTGCTGTTACAGGTCCAAAACAGCTATAGTGAATGGGCATGGATGGGCTGTATTCCAATAAAATTTTAGTTGTGGATACACTGAAATGTGAATTTCACATAATTTTCACACATCAGGAATTTTATTTTATTTTTTTGGAACAGAGTCTCACTCTGTCACCCAGGCTGGAGTGCAGTGCAGTGGTGCGATCTTGGCTCACTGCAACCTCCACCTTCTGTATTCAAGTGATTCTCCTGCCTCAGCCTCCGGAGTAGCTGGGATTACGGTCTCCTGCCACTATGCCCTGCTGATTTTTGTATTTTCAGTAGAGACGAGGCTTCACCATGTTGGCCAGGCTGGTCTCGCACTACTGACCTCAAGTGATCTGCATGCCTCAGCCTCCCAAAGTGCTGGGATTACAGGAGTCAGCCACTGTGCCCAGCCAGAAAATAGTATTTTTAAAAAATATGTATATTTTACCCAACCCATTTAAAAATGAATGAATAAATGACATGGTTAGTTAACCAGAGCTCAGATGAAAGAATAACCCAAAGCAGCTCCTTATGCAGCTTATGGAAATTGCTAACTTAAAAATGGGCACATCAGGCTGGGCGCAGTGGTTCATGCCTGTAATCCCAGCACTTTGGGAGGCTGAGGCGGGCAGATCACCTGAGGTCAGGAGTTCGAGACCAGCCTGATCAACATGGAGAAACCCTGTCTCGGCCGGGCGTGGTGGCTCAAGCCTGTAATCCCAGCACTTTGGGAGGCCGAGACGGGCGGATCAGGAGGTCAGGAGATCGAGACCATCCTGGCTAACACGGTGAAACCCCGTCTCTACTAAAAAAAATACAAAAAACTAGCCGGGCGTGGTGGCGGGTGCCTGTAGTCCCAGCTACTCCGGAGGCTGAGGCAGGAGAATGGCGTAAACCCAGGAGGCGGAGCTTGCAGTGAGCTGAGATCCGGCCACTGCACTCCATCCTGGGCGACAGAGAGAGACTCCATCTCACAAAAAAAAAAAAAAAAGAAAGAAACCCTGTCTCTACTAAAAATAAAAAAAGTTAGCCGGGTGTGGTGGCGCATGCTTCTAATCCCAGCTATTCAGGAGGCTGAGGCAGGAGAATCGCTTGAACCTGGGAGGTGGAGGTTGCCGTGAGCCAAGAGCCCGCCATTGCACTCCAGCCTGGGCAACAAGAATGAAACTCCATCTCAAAAAAAAAAAGGCACATCAGTTTTCCTGGCCAGAGAAAAATCCCAGCCTGCTTCCCCACTCCCTTATTAAATGTCCAGAGAAATGCAGGAGGCTGTACTTTTCTGCTGGGTTGCAAAAGTTTTCCTTATTATTAATTATCCAGCATGTAGTCTCCTTGCTGGATAGAAATGCATGTTCTGTTCACATATTAGACGTTGAATGATCCTTTTGACTTGTCCTTTTATTTATTAATATTAAGCCATTCATTTGCTCATTTCTACAAATACTGAGCATGTGTGAGTCACAGTGCTAGGTGCTAAAGATGCACTGGGGAATAAAACAGACATTGTCTCTGCCTTCAGAAACATACAGGTTAGTAGAAAAGAGCTATTAGAAAAATCCACATACAATTATGTAATTAAAAGTATAGGTACTACAAAGGAGATAGAATAGAGTAGTTGTCAGTGAGCATATTGTGATTTCTATGCCGGATGGGCATTGTACCAAGTGTTTTACATATATTAACTAATTTTTCTTCATAACTAATAATATCCCTATTTTTCTAAATGACAAGATTAAGGCACAGAGAAATTGGATACTTTGCTCAAGGCCTCATAAGCTAGTTAGTGGAATAGTCTGTTTGAACCCAGGTATTCTGGTTTCATAGCCTGAGATCTTAACTGTTTTACAAGATACTGTGAGGGTTTCTAGCAGGAGGATCTAACCTAACTTTTTATTCTACATGTAAATCTCACAAAGACCTTTTCATTCAACACACATTTACTGTACTTCTATTGACTGCTAAATTTTTGCCAGAAGCAAAGGATATCATCTCTGGAATTCAGTCCAAGGCAAGGATGGACTGTTTAAAAAGCTCTGAGTGGTTACTGGGTATGATGAGGGTGAGCAACTTACTCCACACTTTGCAGCAACCTGCTGAGATAGAAAAATAAGCAGGCTAGGCACAGTGGCTCACACCTGTAATCCCAGCACTTTGGGAGGCCGAGGCAGGTAGATTGCTTGAGCCCGGGAATTTGAGACCAGCCTGGGCAACATAGCAAGACCCTATCTTTAAACTTTAAAAAAATAATTAAAATAAAAACACATTTTTTTTTTTTAAAGAAAAATAAGCAGAGGGCAGGGCATGGGGTGGGGCTTCATACCTGTAATCCTAGCACTTTGGGAGGCCAAGGCAGGAGTATCACTTGAGCCCAGGAGTTCAAGACCAGCCTGGGCAACATAGCAGGAGACCACATCTCTATTTGAAAAAAAAAAAACCTGGACAACTTGGCAAAACCCTATCTCTACAAAAAATACAAAAATTAGCCAAATGTGGTGGCGCATGCCTGTAGTCCCAGCTACTTGGGAGTCTGAGGGTAGAGGATCAGTTGAGCCCAGGAGACAGCCAAGGTGGCACCACTCCACTCCAGCTTGGGTGACAAAGCAAGACTCTGTCTCAAAAATAAATAAAATTTAAAATATATTTTTTAAAAAGATAAGCAGAATTTTGGGGGTGATGTTTGAGCTCAGTTTTGAAGGATGAGTTAGAAATTTATCAAGTACGGAGGAGAATTTCAGGCAGAGGAAATACAAAGTACCATGGCAACAAGTCCTGAGAGTCAGTGGCACATTTGGGATATAACTTGGAGAAAGAATAGATTAGATGGTGAAGGTCCTTGAATGTTAGACTAAGAGCTGTACCAGTTTTAGAAAGATAAATGGTACTATTAGGCAGATGATTTATTGTTAAAATCTAATAGTAACTACAACATTCTTTTTAAAGCCCTTGGAGGAAACAAACAGGCCCTGGAAGAGGCGGCAACAGTAAGTGACCTGTCCTATTTTCCAGTCAGTGGTTACTTAAGTCTAGTCCAGTCCCCAGATCCAACTTATAGGTGCTTACTGTGGAAGAGGTTTCATAAAGGGACATTATCTGTTTGTGTCAACTGAAAAATTAGAGTTGGGCCAGACACTGTGTACATGAGACCCAGATAGTTCTGAGTCCTACAGAGGGTAGCAGTTCTATTTTTGACCAATTTCTTGCAGTCCTTTGTCCTGAACTCTACAGCAGAAGTAGAAAGTCTCAAGCCCAAGTTCCTTTAAGCGCCTGAGTCATTGCACTATGCACTGACCTGCTAGATGATGAGGCTGTTTCATCATGTTGTACTGTAGAAGCAGTGCTCTTGCTTGGGATGCTCAGTACTCCCCAACCCCTCTCATCTCCTTCCTCCCAGCATCAGTGCCAGGATTGAAGGCAGTAAGATGGGGATGCAAAATAGAGCATTTAAAGCTGCACCATCCAGTACAGTAGCCACCAGGCATATGTACCTATTTCAGTTAATCACAATTAATAAAATTAAGGAATTCATTTCCTCAGACATACTAGCCACATTTTACGTGTTCGGTAGCTACATGTGACTAGTAGCTACTCCATCAGAGAGCACAGAAATAGAACATTGCTACTCTTGCAGGAAGTTTTATGAGACAGCATTGGGAACTAGTCCATACATGGGCTTCACAGAGTCCTTAGGCACTCTAAAATCATATACAAACAATGCGTGTGTGCACGCTTTTGTGTATCTTTCTGTCAGTTTATTGTAGCCTTGATCAGATTTACAAAG